TTATTGAGATAATTCACCATAACTTTTGACCAGGTGCTGGACGTAAGAATGTGCATTCAGCATTTCAGTATTTTTTAAGAGATCTAAATGAATACCCAACCAATTTCAGAGCGTGTGTATTAGCTTTTTTCTAGAACTCAGCTTCTAAGATCAACCTTGTCAATCTTATTTCCTTTGCATTGAAAATTGTCGTATGTTAGTATTTTTCAGATTTATTTTTCACTGCCATATAAGATTAGAAGTTCATCATTCATAATTACAGTTGTTTCCCCAAAACACAAATTACTTAGGATGATTTCTCTAACATTCTCTAATGAAAACCTTTTCATCTTCCATCATCATCGGTGATGCTAACCTCCAAGCGAGTGTCTCATTGCACCTTCTCAGACTAATATTTCCAGTTGACATGAAGTGGAAAGTGTATATTGAATCAAGTCTGCAGATAAGATTTGGTTCACTATATCATGCTAAACAATTTTTTCTCCAGAATTTCTCTTCCATATTTATAAGTCTACCATACATCCATGCTTTGAATATTGTTGCCACGTATGGTCTGGTGCTTCTGCTATATATTTAGAGATTCTTGATAAAATCTAAAGAAGAATCTGCAATGTTATTAGTCCTGATCTGGCATCTTGGCTTCAGTCCTCTTCCCATCACCATAATGTAGCTTCCCTGTACCTTTTCTGTAAATACTTTCATGGTAATTGTTCTGATGAACTTTCCTCTATGGTACCTAGACTTAATGAATTTAAGCACAGTACCAGATTGGTGGTAAGTCATCATCATTTTACAATTGAAATGGCTAGATGTAATTGTAAGTTCTTTGCTAACAGTTTCTTCTATTGCACTTTTCGATTGTGGAACTCACTTCCGGCTTCTTGCTTCTCAGTGAACTCAGATTTTAAGAAATTTAAATGCAATGTCAATCTTGTAGAATGAATGGTCATCATTAAATAAATAAATGGATGGCAGAACTGCCCAACAAACAGAATTGACAAAATTTGCAATAACAAGAAGAAAAAGAAAAGAGCGAAGCAAACAATATATGCAAGGCAAATTAACACTAATAAGGCAAAAAAATTTGCAAACTAAAAATACGGGTAGACACACAAGAGAAAATTTGGATAAGCAAATGTAGTGTTCTGACTTCCAGACAAGACTGACTGGAACTGAGTCATATGAAACCAAGAACTTGATTATTTTATTGGCTAGCAAGAAATCCCAGTCTGCATTTGTGTGCTTCTGCCTATAAATTGGGGAGGAGGAAAATATTTTGCAGTCCTTTCAATACAAATTGGAACGAACAGATCTTCTGTCTTTTTAATTCTTGTTCTTTTATTGTCCTCTTTCTTTACTAGTATATTAGTCTCATATTCTCTAACACTCTTACATCTTAGTGGCTTTATTGCCTTACTTGGGGTGAAATGATAAAAAAAATGAATAAATAGTTTTTCAAATCTCTACCTTCAGAAATAGTCTTCTAAATTTTCTACTGTGCTTAAAGGCTTTTATTTCTGCCTCAGAGATAAAAGTGATGCAATATGATGACAGTTTAAAAGCAGTAATGAGATCTTCTTCTACATGCTGTGTCCCTCCAGAACATAGGGGATCTAGCTCTCCACACTTTCCTGACCTTTGTAGCTCTTTATAAATTATGTATGTATGTTATCTCTCCTAGACCTTGTTCTGCAATCCATTTACTCAAGCTCACTGAGGAGCATGTGTGTTGTTTTCGTCTATCCCTCTTGCCCTCATTATGTCCTGTGAGTATCAGAATTTACAAGCCTTCTTTCCTCATGATGTATCCTAGAAATTCCAACTGTCTCTTCCTGGGGTTAAGTATAAGTTTCCTTTTTGTTTAAATTTTCTCTAAAACTTTGTCATTATTCACATGTTTGGTCCTTGGTATCCTCAGGATCCTCCTGTAGAACCATGTTTCTGTTGTCTCAAGTCTCCTCTTCATCTGTGAGGAGATTGTTCTGCATTCACTGACATACAGAAGGAATGATATTTCATAACAGTTCAGTACTCTTTTCATTGTTTCTAATAATTATTTTTTGTTTTTTAATACTTTGCTTAGCTTTTGAAAGGCATTCTCCAGCTATCCCAACATGCCTTCAGATTTCATTGTCACACTTTCTGTCCTCTGTAAAAACACTTGCCAGATATTTAGATTGTTGTACTTGTTTGATTTTGTTATCTCCAATTTGTAATTTGCATGTTGGGCAGTTAAGATCTAGTCAAGCACAAGGCCATTGAATAAAGTTATTTTTAAGCATGGCTCTTGGACTAAACCAGAACAAATTTTATCTCATGATGAAGAAAGGTGCTTGATGTTTGTCGTAGTTATTCCACTGGGTTATTGAAATTTAGCCAACAAGAAAAGAATGTGAGTTTAAGAAAATCCAGAGATTGCAGGGGAAATTATTGGAATGGTCTCCATCAGTCATGGTTGGTGTGTATCCCTATTGACTCCAGGGAGTGGCTGCTAATATATTTTCTCATGGATAAAGTAATCTATTCCATCAGTGGTCAATTTTCCATGTTTCAAAGCTGCCCATTGACCTTGACCAGAGTCAGGCAAAGCCAAAATTGGTCAGTGAGGAGGAAGGAGGTAGGTGTTGGGTTATGAAATAGGACCGTGAGATAGCAATTCATGGAAATAAAGCCAGGAAAACATTAGCATGTCAGATGGAAGATGTTTGGAAATATACTTAGATAGCTAACTATTTACAAAAAAAATAAATACACACACACACACACATACAATCTTGAGCCAATGTTGAAAAGATCTCGGACAAATCCCACCCCCAAATCTAGCCAAATATTAAAATTGGCAAGAAGGGCTTCTTGGTTGGGCAAGAATTTTTACATGCACACAAACACACACACAATATATATAATGACTGTGCCCTCATATCTAAGTATGTCTATGAGGATGGCTAGCCAATCCCTGTTGCAGATGTCTGCTCAGGCACATTTTGTTTTTGTTTATTGCCTACAGAACCCATCTGTGGTTTATACTGTAATTATGCTGAGTAGACCTTAGTTACAGTTTCTGGGAGAGAGTGTATTATCTGGTGAAATGAACAGTTTGAACAAGGCTGGTATGCTCAAACCATCAGTCATGATGACTTGTGACTTTGTGCTAGCACTGCCATCGATAGCTCCTAAATAGTTTTATCTACCCAATTTCAATCATAAGTCATGAGTCAACTCACAGTATGGTTTTTCAGCACTTTCCAAAGATGCCACATACTCACCTCCCTTCAGACTAATAAGATCAGGAAGTCACCTTCCTAACAAATTGACCCCAGGTGGGACTCAAACCTGGGTTCCACAGTTGGGAAGTAAACATTATAACCACTAGGACATACACCCATATACACATATATATATATATATATGTTTGTGCATTTAGGCAGTAATCCTTCTTTCATGCACATTTCATTGAATACAACAGACAAGGCGCTTTTATTTAGGATTTATACAATTTCTCATGCAATCTAATATTTTTTTTCTTTTCAGATGATAAATTATATAAAAACTGAATGTTCTTTTTATCTGAGTACTTTTGGCTATGCATTTAGCCATTTTCAAGGATTAAATATTTTAACTAGTAGTATGTGTGTGTGTGCATATGAAAGAAAAGACAAGAGGAAATGTTTTATGCCATGTTTCATTAAGGAATAACAAGCAATGTAAATATTATACATAATATCTCATCTCAGAAATATATATAATCAGTTTTAATGTTTTATATTATTAGGATACACTTGCAATATATACCAACAGATTATTACCTATACATACATATACATGTATATACATATATATATATATATATGAATTTTTTCATACATGTAGATCCCTTACAGGGCTGAAGAGTCTTTGTTGATCACACAATTTAAAGGTCACTTCTACATATTTCAATTATTTTATTTTATTCAATTTTTTACCCTGTGACATGGATATACATATTTATTTTTATATTTGTAGCACAATATTTCATGTATTATTTAGTCAATCATATTTTTTTTAGATATTAATGTGTTAGAAATAGTCATGTTAATGAGTTAATAATATATATATATATATATATATATATATATATATATATATATATATCTGTGTGTGATACCCCGACTATATATTCTATGTATAAGGAAGTATGTAATGTCCACAAACGACTGAGTATCTGTTGCAAAATGATGCTATAGTCTCAATCTGGGGTTAATCATGTAACAACCACTGTGTACAGGTGAGTCAGCATTCAACCCACTTTTGTATCTAGCTGCCTGCTAATCCCCCTTCCCTGAGGGCTATCATCCATCTGTCCAGATCTCTGATGAAGATGACCAAGTCTCATGAGCTGAACAAGTAATTGGACGTGATGCTTCATCCAAGTATGGACAAGGGTCAAGCAAGCATCAGACCGACAGGCAGACAGCTAAATGGATAGATAGTGATGACAACACAAGGTTGTGGTCATTGCATATAATGTCCAATCAGGATGAAGTGAGTTTGTCTGGCAGTGTGACATTAAACTGACCATGGCAGTGTTTTGGAATTTATTCCGTCTCATGTCCTGTCCCCAAATAGAATCAATTATGGACAGTGGGGAGGGAAGTAATGTGGTATTGAAGAAGAGAAGGAAGGGGTGAAAAGGAATGAGTGTATGGGGTGGAGAGGGAAGAAAAAGGGAATTGAATACAGAGTGAGGGGGAAAAAAGCAGGAAAATAGAATAAAAATGAAAGAACAGAGAAATGCAAACAAAGGAAAAAGATAAGAAGGAAAATAGAAAAAAATGAAGAAGAATGACGACAAACAGAATAATGAGAAAGAATATGAAAGGTTGTAAAAAATGCCAAAGAAAAATTTTAAAAGAAATAGGGAAAAGAAAAGGAAAAAGAATGGAAAGAAAAGGAGAAAAGAATGAAAATGAAAGAAAATAAAAACATGAAAAATTTATGATAAAGAAAAAATAATAAAAAAGTTAAAAGGAATGAAAATGAGAAAAATGAAAATGAGTAGGGGGGGAAGAATAAGAAGAAAGAGGATAATGAAATAATGAGAGCAAAAAAAAGAAAAGAAAGAAGAATAAGAAAACATAAAAAATGAGGAAATCAAAAGAGAATGAAAGCAAGCAAAGAAAAAAGAATGAGAAAAGGTGAAACAAAAAATGAGAAAAAAAAGCAGCATGAGAAAAAGGAAAAAGTGAGAATAGAAAGAATGAGTAAAAGGAAAAAAGAGGGGGAAAGAAAAAAGAATGAGTAAAAGGAAAAAAAGAGGGGAAAGAAAAAAATGAGTAAAAGATAAAAAGAGAGGGGGAAAGAAAAAAAGAATGAGTAAAAGGAAAAAAAAGAGGGAAAAAGAATAAGTATAAGAAAAAGTAAAAATAGAGGGAAAATAAAGAAGAATGAGAAAAAGGAAAAAGAATATAATAAGGAAACAATGAAAAAGAATGAATAACTAAGGAAAAAAGAAAAGGAAGAAAAATGAAAATAATGAAAAGAATAAGAAAAAAGGGGAAGGAATGAAAAAAGAACAGATGATGAAAAGAAAGATTAAAGGAAATAAGGAAGTTAAAAAAGAAAACTCAAAAAAGTAACGGTAGAATAAAAGCAAAAGAAAGAAAAAAAAGAGAAAAATCAAGGAAAGAAAAAAGGAAAACCAGCAGGAAGTGGGGAAAAACTGATGGGACACTGGAGAGATGGGAAGATGAAATTGAAAAGATAGAAAAGAAGAATTAAAAGAGAAAAGAAAAAAGGAAATCAAAAATGTTGATTTGCAAACTGCATGAATCTCACAGATGCCTGAATTGAGTCAGTCAAGTTGTAATCACTTGAGCAAAGAGCTCAGCTCAAGTCTGATTCTATTTTATTATTATTAGGCTCGGACCACTTTTGGCTATGTACACTTTTGTCTCGGCAGCCAGCCATTTTGACACACACTCTTTGAGGTCTTTCCGTATTTAAGAACAAAATTATTTTTATTTTGTTTAAATTATTTTGTGGGTTTTTCTTGGTGGGGTACAGTTGTTCAGTACACTTTTTAAAAATAAAAATAATTCTTAAAATTTTACCAGAATCCAACAAAACATACAAAATAAAAAATGAAATAAAAATAAATAAATAAATAAATAAATGGAATTAACTGCTTCATATTTAAAAAAAAAAAAAGCATTATCAATTATTTTTTTATGCTTAAAAACTGAAAATACCATACAATCAAACAGGGATTTTATATGACGAGCAAAAACTGAAAAGTAAATTAAAAAAAATTTCAATTGAATTTAATGTACAATTTTGAATGTAAGAGTTAAATAATATGTGAAATTTTTATACCCTTCAGAAATTCTCTAAAGACACTCTTCCAAGATTAAAGAAATGCTAACCTCCAGGAGAAAAACTCATTGCACTTTCTTGAGCTAACATTTTCTGCTGACATGAAGTGCAATGATTATATTGCTCCTAGGAATGTTGGTTGACTGGTTTGTGCTAGATAATTTTTCTTGCCAGAATCTATCTTATAAATTTATAAATCCACCATTCATCCATGCATTGAATATTGCTGCCATATTTGGTCTTGTGCTTCTGCTGTGTATCTACAGATTCTTGATAAAATCCAAAAAAAAATCTGCAATGTTATCAGTCCTGACTAGGCATCTCAGCTTCAGTCACTTTCCCACCATCATAACATAGCTTCCCTTTAACTTTTCCATAAATATCTAAATGGTAATTCTTCTGATGAACTTTCCTCTTTAGTACCTTAACTTTGCAAATTTAAGCACAGTACTAGATTGGCAACTAGGTCTCATCATTTTACAACTGAAATTACTAGATGTAACCATAAGTTCTATGCTAACACTTTCTTCTCTCACACTTCTTGCTGGTGAAGCTCTCTTCCAGCTTTGCTGTCAACTTTGATTTTCAGAAATTTAAATGCAATGTCAATCGTCATCTTGTATATGTTTAATTTGTGTTCTTTTTTGGCCTTCTCTTAAATATTTTGCTTTTTCTCATATTCAGTCTTAGTGGCTTTATTAGAGTGAAATGATTAAAATAAAATATCCTGAATGAATATAACATTTATAAAAAAGAAAATCAGCTAAGAGAAACAAAGTGTGAAATCCTTACAGGGATACAAAAGGCAATTATCTTCTTTTGGTTGAGATAAATTCATGTGGGTCGTGTGATGGCTACTGAAGCCAAATCTGCCTCTTCCAGCACATGCTTCAACTTACAAGCACATTGCACTGTTTCCCTTTGGTAATATATCTTCCTCAGATATAGAAAGAAACTATTTCCAGCTAGCAGACCTCAATTTAAGGAAACCAAAACGCACTGTTTTCAGTTTGTGAAATATGCCCTTGCTTAAGAGATAGTAGATAAATCTGTCTGCTTGAATCTGGAGTCCTAAACATGGCTTCTCTAGAAACACAGAAGAATCTCCATATTATATATCAGACCCTTTTCATCCTATTTAAACTCTGCATGCTGTGTAGATATTTGTTATATTTTTCTCTGTTTGGGACACATGTAAATATGCAGACATAATTTTGTATATGACTTAGCAGTATAAAACTCGCTCTGAGAACAAAGCATATTTGTCAATCCTTTTAATTTTAGCTATTCTGTTCCATCCATGAAATATGGTGTTGTTATATCATGGATCTAATATTGCCCATAATGGGGGAAATGTAAATGTGAGAATAAACCTTTCTTCCAAGCTCTCCCATTATACTCTTTAAAAGTAGACAAAAGCAGAAAATAGAAATGGTCTCTTATTCTTTCACACTCAGTAACCTCTTGTTTCTTAATAACCTTCCTTGGGATGAAATGATTTTAAATAAATTTTTTTTTTTATATATAAAATTGTTATTAAATATATTGTCTCTCTGTAAAGGTTTCACTCCTGAATTTTTGTTCAAAGCCAATGTTTTCATTGCTCCTTTTCAAGGCAGATATACTAACCCTACTTTGGATACTAGCACAACACAATCTTCCACTGCCATTTATTCTAATTTGTTATTGTCTTAGACTTAGATAAATCAGCAAGCCAAGTTCAAATTCTGGTCAAGTTCATTACATTCAGTTTTGCACAAATACCCTTGTGAAAGGAATGAAACCATCTCTTCTTCGTTCAGTTTTGCCTTAAAAAGAAGGACCTAACTGAGCTTTATAACAATGTTCAGCAACACATCTATGAGAAGAAAAACTCCTACTTCAAAACCATATGTAGTCCTGGTGAAATACATGCTATATAGCCATGGAAAAGATTTCACACTTAACTTGTGGACTCTGATCTTGACTTCACTTGATGGGGTACATAAGACAGCTGTAGGTTTTCTTCTGGCATCAGTAATTTTAGAGTTTAGATTTTAATGGCAGGTAGGCAGACCAATTAGAATATTGAATATTGATATGGCACAGTCCTCCTATTCTTCATTTATATCTTGAAGAGGCTTTTCATACATTTTTCAATTTAATTTTTAATTAAAATTATAAAATGCATATATTTACATTATTAGATAGGTTTGCCTATTGTCTGGTTTACACCCCTCCCCACTGTTTTGAACAGGAGTAGATGTTTATCCTTTCTTTACTGTTTAGGGTTGGGTTTCTGGTTCCTTCTAAACTCTAAAGTCTACTTCAACTATATTTCCAACATCTCCATCTAAAACTCTAAAATTTTATTTATATTTTTCCACTCAATAGGAGTAGATAGTTTTGCCTATTGTCCATTTCACACACCTCCCCATTCTTTTGAACAGGAGTAGAGGTTTATCCCTTGTTTCCTGTTTAGAATCTGGTTTCCAGTTTTTTCAGGAGTCTTCTCATTCTCTTCCACCCTCTTGCATCTTAGTGGCATTATCACCTTGCTTGGGGTGAATTGATTAAAAAGAAAAATTTACTGAAGTTGTTACAAGATAACAAATATACGGTGTGACAGAGAAATATGATAATGGATCTGCAAGTTGGTTAATTACAATTCCATGATGAGACACTCAATTAGACAGCGAAATGCATCTCTTTGAAGAACTGTGTAGCTTATTTAAAAGAGACGAAATGTATCCCAATTGGAAAAAGTAGCATCCTTATAATAAAATGCCTCATTAAGTCAACTTATGAATTTCCATGAAAAATGATCCGGAAGTTTCTAAGGTTATAGCCAAATGAACAGGCAGATCTTGCCATTTTATTTAATCGTCAGGGAAAGTCTAGTTTGGCGAAGCATTCAGTAAGTACTTAGAAAATATGGGTATTCTCCAAATCTATCAAGACTGGTGGCCCAGGGATGCTGCGAGCCATAATTAGGGCAGAATATAAGCACAATCAACTTAGAATGACCAAGTCATCTGAACAAAACATTGTGGCTCAGTGCCAGTGGAAGGGACCTCATACAATTGAGCACAAGTACAAAACCAATTTGACCGATGCCTCAAGTCACAGTCCACATTAGTGAGGGACAGAGATAAGACCTTCCTCTGCTGGCTCCACTACCACCCACTTCCACAATATCTTTCACTCTCCTCACTGGACACACCCACACATTCTTGCAGAATAAAATGATGAAATACTAGCCAAGTTAGCCCAAAGTGGAGCAAATTCAAATAAATAGTAAAATATATTCAAAGGAAAACATTTTTCAAACATTAAAAAATACATTTTAGGAGAAAATAATTTTTTAAAAATAGAATAGAAATGGTTAAGTACATTTTTTTTTTCTGTGTGATTTTTCTTTTTATTTCTTTGCCTGGTCTCATATTGTAATAACCATGTTTAAAAGCAATTAAAAAAAATGTTCTGATAGAAATATCAGAAAAAGTACAGACTTTCTTATTGACCCATGTCAAGGTTGAATAAAGAGTAGCAGCTTTTTTTTGCTACTGGTATGAAATGGAAATTAATTATGGGAAAGTGGTTTAAAAAATATTTGATGAATCAGAGACAATGAGTTCATGCCTTTCTAATAACATTATTTTAAAATGAAAATAAGCAACCTCAGCTGTTTGTTACTTTGTTTTTCATGTGTTACTGCTATGCAACAATTTTCTTTTATATTCCATGTTCTTTCAGGATATGGCTGATGATGTCTCTCCACACTTTCCTATCTTTTCTTACCCTTAATAATTCTTGCCTCATTACCACCCCTCTTTGTGGGTTTTGTTCTGGTATCCATTCAAACAAACTTGTCAAGCAAGTTCCTTGCTATTTTCTCCTGTTTTTCTTGTCTTCAGTATGTCTTGTGAGTTAAATTCTTTAAGCCTTCTTTCCACATTATGTGTCCCAGAAATTTCAGCTGTTTCTTTCTGATGATAAGTTTTAGTTTCCTTGATGTTCTTATTTTCCTGAAAACTTCTTTGTTTCTCACATACTCAGTCCATGGCATTCTCAGTTTTCATCTATGAGTAAATTGTCCAGCATCCACTGCTAAATAGAAGATTCGATATTACATAGCAGTCTGACACTCTTTTCTTTGTTTTTAAGGATATTTACTGATCTCTAAGGACTTCGTTCATTTTTTAAAAGTATCTTTGCTAGTCTTATATGCATTCTTATTTCTGTGTCATACTTTCCGTTGTTTGCCATTACACTCCCCAGATTGTCGTGTTCCGTCACGACACTGGCTTCAGCCCTTTGTATCCCTGTGCCGCTTCATAGACAGTAGGTAGCATCAATTCTAGGAGGTAGTGGGTGGAAGAATTTCAGGGGAACATATGTTCACTCATTGGTGTGGCTTCTCACCATGAGAGGCATTACCCTACCAAATTTTGATCTGGAAAACATATTGACACTTCAAAATTCCTGCATCCCACTGCTGATTTTGCACCATTTTTCCTCTTATATCAAACACCTAGTCAAAGGCAATCCATCACTGTCAGAATACCACAACCACAAGATATTCTGACCAATCGCTGACCATCCTGACTCAGCCT